TTTTAACATATTTGACCCCTGTGACCTTGAAAATGGGTGAAGGTCATTAATTTGAACAAACTTTGTAGCCCTTCATCCCAGTTTGCTGCTGGCCAAATATCATCACCCTGGGCATTTTGGTTATTGAGAAGAAGTTGTTTAAAGGTTTTTTAAGACAATTGACCCCTGTGACCTTGAATATAATTGAAGGTCATTCATTTGAACAAACTTGGTAGCCCTTCACCCAAGCATGCTAATGGCCAAATATCATCTCCCTGGGCAGTTTGGTTATCGAGAAGAAGATGTTTAAAGTTTTTAACATATTTGACTCCTGTGACCTTGAATATGGGTGAAGGTCATTCATTTTAACAAACTTTGTAGCCCTTCATCCCAGTTTGCTGCTGGCCAAATATCATCACCCTAGGCCTTTTGGTTATTAAGAAGAAGTCGTTTAACGTAAAATATTGACGCCGGACGCCGGACGGACGGACGGACGGACGACGGACGCCGCACCATCGCATAAGCTCACTTGGCACTTCGTGCCAGGTGAGCTAAAAATCAAATGTAAATTATTTATTACAATATATATTATATAGTGCACTGACAAAGGTAATACAAAGTAAAGAAGAAAACTTAACACTTCATTGTTCAGTAATTTAAAACAAAACTTTATAAATTAGACATGATCAAAGAATAAAACGTCACAAACTAATAGTGAACTGACACTTAAAACTTCACAAACTAATAGTGAACTGACACTTAAAACGACACAAACTAATAGTAAACTGACACTTAAAGCGTCACAAACTAATAGTAAACTGACACTTAAAGTGTCACAAACTAATAGTAAACTGACACTTAAAGCCTCACAAACTAATAGTGAACTGACACTTTAAACGTCACAAACTAATAGTGAACTGACACTTAAAACGTCACAAACTAATAGTGAACTGACACTTAAAACGTCACAAACTAATAGTGAACTGACACTTAAAACGTCACACATAGATCTGGTAAATGTACACATATTTTCTTTACATAATCAACATGTTTTTTTTATTTATCAGTCATGTCTTGAAATTAAAAATATATCTGTATGAGGCAAAAAATAGATACGAGGAATGTTGATTTCAGGCCAATTGTTAAAGTAATAAATCATTTTTTGAAAAATCATTAGTGACAGCTTTTATTGCAAATTTTGTTCTAAAGAATCTTATAATACTTGTATCTTTCATGAACCATTAAAATGTATTTTTAAATTCACAATGTTTTTTACAGGAACATTCATACAAAATTTGGGACTTAAAAGAAACTGATTTGTTATTTGCATGTTGATCAAAGCCTTACAACAACCGCAAAATGTTCAACTGTCCGTTTGTAAAAGAAGGAAAAGGGTTTTCAAAACAAAGGTTTACATATACTTATGAAAGAAAACAATTGTGTATCCAACAAGGTAATGAAGGATTTTTTGTTCATTCCCCCCACCTAACAAGAAGTACAGGGTTTGGGAAGCTTTTTATATTTTTTCTTTTTTTCAATGTACAAATACCATTCTTCACAATCACAGTCAGAGGAGTTCAGAAGTGGCCTCCATATTTATGCAGAGCTTTATCTCCATAAACCTTGAGAGCCTAGTTCATCGCAATAAATAAGACTGACTTTATACATAAATCCTAAATTATCAACAATCAAGACAGGTACAACAATTAACAACATTTGGGAAGCACATGGATATTAAAGGTGGCAAGAAGGACCCATATGCCAGACTGTTGTTTATGTAAAATAAAAAACAACAACAATAAACAAAACGTAATGGGAAATAGCACCAAAAGTACATAAAGGAATACACTCATTTGTTCCACAATCAATCAAGATTATCTATCTTAACTAACTGTGTTAAAGAAAACAAACACAAATAATTCATAAAAAGAACAAAATTCAACATCAGTGAATGTATTGCTCTGGCTTAGGGATCCCTGTACCCCTGCCTCTGGCTTAGGGATCCCTTGTATCCCTGCCTTTGGCTTAGAGATACCTGTATCACTGCCTCTGGCTTAGGAATCCCTGTACCACTGCCTCTGGCTTAGGGATCCCTTGTCCCCCTACCTCTGGCTTAGGGATCCCTGTACCACTGCCTCTGGCTTAGGAATCCCTGTACCACTGCCTCTGGCTTAGGGATCCCTTGTATCCCTGCCTTTGGCTAAGGGATCCCTGTACCCCTGCCCCTGGCTTAGGGATCCCTGTACCACTGCCTCTGGCTTAGGGATCCCTTGTACCCCTACCTCTGGCTTAGGGATCCCTGTACCCCTGCCTCTGGCTTGGGGATCCCTTGTACCCCTTCCTCTGGCTTAGGGATTCCTGTACCACTGCCTCTGGCCTGGGGATCCCTGTACCCCTGCCTCAGGCTTAGGGATCCCTTGTACCCCTGCCTTTGGCTTAGGGATCCCTGTACCACTGCCTCTGGCCTAGGGATCCCTGTACCACTGCCTCTGGCTTAGGGATCCATGTACTACTGCCTCCGGTTTAGGGATCCCTGTACCACTGCCTCTGGCTTAGGGATCCCTGTACCACTGCCTCAGGCTTAGAGATCCATGTACCACTGCCTCTGGTTTAGGGATCCCTGTATCACTGCCTCTGGCTTAGGGATCCCTGTACCACTGTCTCTGGCTTAGGGATCCCTGTACCACTACCTCTGGGTTAGGGATCCCTGTACCATTTCATCTGGCTTATGGATCCCTGTACCACTGCCTCTGGCTTAGAGATACCTGTACCACTGCCTCTGGCTTGGGGATCCCTTTTAACCCTACCTCTGGCTTATGGATCCCTGTACCACTGCCTCTGGCTTAGGGATCCATGTACTCCTGCCTCCGGTTTAGGGATCCCTGTACCACTGCCTCTGGCTTAGGGATCCCTGTACCACTGCCTCTGGCCTAGGGATCCCTGTACCACTGCCTCTGGCTTAGGGATTCATGTACTACTGCCTCCGGTTTACGGATCCCTGTACCACTGCCTCTGGCTTAGGGATCCCTGTACCACTGCCTCAGGCTTAGAGATCCATGTACCACTGCCTCTGGTTTAGGGATCCCTGTATCACTGCCTCTGGCTTAGGGATCCCTGTACCACTGTCTCTGGCTTAGGGATCCCTGTACCACTACCTCTGGGTTAGGGATCCCTGTACCATTTCATCTGGCTTATGGATCCCTGTACCACTGCCTCTGGCTTAGGGATCCCTGTACCACTGCCTCTTGCTTAGGGATCCCTTGTAACCCTACCTCTGGCTTATGGATCCCTGTACCACTGCCTCTGGCCTGGGGATCCCTGTACCCCTGCCTCAGGCTTAGGGATCCCTTGTACCCCTGCCTTTGGCTTAGGGATCCCTGTACCACTGCCTCTGGCCTAGGGATCCCTGTACCACTGCCTCTGGCTTAGGGATTCATGTACTACTGCCTCCGGTTTACGGATCCCTGTACCACTGCCTCTGGCTTAGGGATCCCTGTACCACTGCCTCAGGCTTAGAGATCCATGTACCACTGCCTCTGGTTTAGGGATCCCTGTATCACTGCCTCTGGCTTAGGGATCCCTGTACCACTGTCTCTGGCTTAGGGATCCCTGTACCACTACCTCTGGGTTAGGGATCCCTGTACCATTTCATCTGGCTTATGGATCCCTGTACCACTGCCTCTGGCTTAGGGATCCCTGTACCACTGCCTCTGGCTTAGGGATCCCTTGTAACCCTACCTCTGGCTTATGGATCCCTGTACCACTGCCTCTGGCTTAGAGATACCTGTACCACTGCATCTGGCTTAGAGATACCTGTACCATTGCCTCTGGCTAAGGGATCCCTTCTACCCCTGCCTCTGGCTTAGGGATCCCTGTACCCCTACCTCTGGCTTAAAGATCCCTGTACCCCTACCTCTGCCTTAGAGATCCCTGTACCCCTGCCTCTGGCTCAGAGATCCCTGTACCCCTACCTCTGGCTTAGAGATACTTGTACCACTGCCTCTGGCTAAGGTATCCCTTAGCTTGTACCCCTGCCTCTGGCTTAGAGATACCTGTACCACTGCCTCTGGCTAAGGTATCCCTTAGCTTGTACCCCTGCCTCTGGCTTAGAGATACCTGTACCACTGCCTCTGGCTAAGGTATCCCTTAGCTTGTACCCCTGCCTCTGGCTTAGAGATACCTGTACCACTGCCTCTGGCTAAGGTATCCCTTAGCTTGTACCCCTGCCTCTGGCTTAGAGATACCTGTACCACTGCCTCTGGCTAAGGTATCCCTTAGCTTGTACCCCTGCCTCTGGCTTAGAGATACCTGTACCACTGCCTCTGGCTAAGGTATCCCTTAGCTTGTACCCCTGCCTCTGGCTTAGAGATACCTGTACCACTGCCTCTGGCTAAGGTATCCCTTAGCTTGTACCCCTGCCTCTGGCTTAGAGATACCTGTACCACTGCCTCTGGCTAAGGTATCCCTTAGCTTGTACCCCTGCCTCTGGCTTAGAGATACCTGTACCACTGCCTCTGGCTAAGGTATCCCTTAGCTTGTACCCCTGCCTCTGGCTTAGAGATACCTGTACCACTGCCTCTGGCTAAGGTATCCCTTAGCTTGTACCCCTGCCTCTGGCTTAGAGATACCTGTACCACTGCCTCTGGCTAAGGTATCCCTTAGCTTGTACCCCTGCCTCTGGCTTAGAGATACCTGTACCACTGCCTCTGGCTAAGGTATCCCTTAGCTTGTACCCCTGCCTCTGGCTTAGAGATACCTGTACCACTGCCTCTGGCTAAGGTATCCCTTAGCTTGTACCCCTGCCTCTGGCTTAGAGATACCTGTACCACTGCCTCTGGCTAAGGTATCCCTTAGCTTGTACCCCTGCCTCTGGCTTAGAGATACCTGTACCACTGCCTCTGGCTAAGGTATCCCTTAGCTTGTACCCCTGCCTCTGGCTTAGAGATACCTGTACCACTGCCTCTGGCTAAGGTATCCCTTAGCTTGTACCCCTGCCTCTGGCTTAGAGATACCTGTACCACTGCCTCTGGCTAAGGTATCCCTTAGCTTGTACCCCTGCCTCTGGCTTAGAGATACCTGTACCACTGCCTCTGGCTAAGGTATCCCTTAGCTTGTACCCCTGCCTCTGGCTTAGAGATACCTGTACCACTGCCTCTGGCTAAGGTATCCCTTAGCTTGTACCCCTGCCTCTGGCTTAGAGATACCTGTACCACTGCCTCTGGCTAAGGTATCCCTTAGCTTGTACCCCTGCCTCTGGCTTAGAGATACCTGTACCACTGCCTCTGGCTAAGGTATCCCTTAGCTTGTACCCCTGCCTCTGGCTTAGAGATACCTGTACCACTGCCTCTGGCTAAGGTATCCCTTAGCTTGTACCCCTGCCTCTGGCTTAGAGATACCTGTACCACTGCCTCTGGCTAAGGTATCCCTTAGCTTGTACCCCTGCCTCTGGCTTAGAGATACCTGTACCACTGCCTCTGGCTAAGGTATCCCTTAGCTTGTACCCCTGCCTCTGGCTTAGAGATACCTGTACCACTGCCTCTGGCTAAGGTATCCCTTAGCTTGTACCCCTGCCTCTGGCTTAGAGATACCTGTACCACTGCCTCTGGCTAAGGTATCCCTTAGCTTGTACCCCTGCCTCTGGCTTAGAGATACCTGTACCACTGCCTCTGGCTAAGGTATCCCTTAGCTTGTACCCCTGCCTCTGGCTTAGAGATACCTGTACCACTGCCTCTGGCTAAGGTATCCCTTAGCTTGTACCCCTGCCTCTGGCTTAGAGATACCTGTACCACTGCCTCTGGCTAAGGTATCCCTTAGCTTGTACCCCTGCCTCTGGCTTAGAGATACCTGTACCACTGCCTCTGGCTAAGGTATCCCTTAGCTTGTACCCCTGCCTCTGGCTTAGAGATACCTGTACCACTGCCTCTGGCTAAGGTATCCCTTAGCTTGTACCCCTGCCTCTGGCTTAGAGATACCTGTACCACTGCCTCTGGCTAAGGTATCCCTTAGCTTGTACCCCTGCCTCTGGCTTAGAGATACCTGTACCACTGCCTCTGGCTAAGGTATCCCTTAGCTTGTACCCCTGCCTCTGGCTTAGAGATACCTGTACCACTGCCTCTGGCTAAGGTATCCCTTAGCTTGTACCCCTGCCTCTGGCTTAGAGATACCTGTACCACTGCCTCTGGCTAAGGTATCCCTTAGCTTGTACCCCTGCCTCTGGCTTAGAGATACCTGTACCACTGCCTCTGGCTAAGGTATCCCTTAGCTTGTACCCCTGCCTCTGGCTTAGAGATACCTGTACCACTGCCTCTGGCTAAGGTATCCCTTAGCTTGTACCCCTGCCTCTGGCTTAGAGATACCTGTACCACTGCCTCTGGCTAAGGTATCCCTTAGCTTGTACCCCTGCCTCTGGCTTAGAGATACCTGTACCACTGCCTCTGGCTAAGGTATCCCTTAGCTTGTACCCCTGCCTCTGGCTTAGAGATACCTGTACCACTGCCTCTGGCTAAGGTATCCCTTAGCTTGTAACCCTACCTCTGGCTTAGGGATCCCTGTACCCCTACCTCTGGCTTAGAGATCCCTGTACCCCTGCCTCTGGCTTAGAGATACCTGTACCCCTGCCTCTGGCTTAGAGATACCTGTACCACTGCCTCTGGCTAAGGTATCCCTTAGCTTGTACCCCTGCCTCTGGCTTAGAGATACCTGTACCATTGCCTCTGGCTAAGGTATCCCTTAGCTTGTACCCCTGCCTCTGGCTTAGAGATACCTGTACCACTGCCTCTGACTAAGGTCTCCCTTAGCTTGTAACCCTACCTCTGGCTTAGGGATCCCTGTACCCCTACCTCTGGCTTAGGGATCCCTGTACCCCTACCTCTGGCTTAGAGATACCTGTACCACTGCCTCTGGCTAAGGTATCCCTTAGCTTGTACACCTGCCTTTGGCTTAGAGATACCTGTACCCCTGCCTCTGGCTTAGAGATACCTGTACCCCTGCCTCTGGCTTAGGGATCCCTGTACCCCTGCCTCTGGCTTAGAGATACCTGTACCCCTACCTCTGGCTTTGAGATACCTGTACCACTGCCTTTGGCTAAAGTATCCCTTAGCTTGTACCCCTGCCTCTGGCTTGGAGATACCTGTACCCCTGCCTCTGGCTTAGAGATACCTGTACCCCTGCCTCTGGCTTTGAGATACCTGTACCACTGCCTTTGGCTAAAGTATCCCTTAGAGATACCTGTACCACTGCCTCTGGCTAAGGTATCCCTTGTACCCCTGCCTCTGGCTTAGGGATCCCTGTACCCCTGCCTCTGGCTTAGAGATCCCTGTACCCCTACCTCTGGCTTAGAGATACCTGTACCCTACCTCTGGCTTAGAGATACCTGTACCCCTACCTCTGGCTTAGAGATACCAGTACCATTGCCAAAACTGTGACTGTAAATGTGGATTTTTTTTTAGTGTGCAGCATGACTACACCTTTGATGAATCGTTTCCATAAGAAATCTATACCTTGTGGGACTTTTATGTGAAAAGAAGATGAAATAATAAAATGGAATCAACAACAGTGTGATTGAGCTGGTCAACTAAAGTGTCCTGGCAAAATGGCTACAGTTGTCTCTAAACGGAAGTTACAGGGAGGTTACTGTATATAGGAAAAACACAAGTGGGACAGGGATCCTTATATGGAATGATGGCAGGTTACAAATGTATCCATGACAGGTAATATGAGAGAAACACATGATTTTACAGCAAAATTCCAGGCTAATTTATACACAAATAATGTATATATCAAAGACCATTTGGTTCCTTGCTCAAGCTATGACCAAAGGTATGAGAAAGGGAACAATTGCCGGAATTGGTCTTGTAACATTGTGACATGTTTGATGTGTACATTACTTGTGTGTTAAGTAAATCTTTGAAAACTATACAAAAATAAGTTTCATGAGAAACTGATAATCCATCACAGCAACAGTGACTAAGGTGGAACATAAACATCAAAGGTTTCATCATGTCTTATAAGTAATTTGTACAAAAATATTTTCTGGAATAAATTTTCCATTTATGTCGACAGACAATATATATTTCACATCCTTCATAATAGAGATATATCTACACACTACTAACTATTAACTGCTTGTCTGAAATGCAGTCGGAACAGCACACCAGTGTTTTTGCATATTGTTTGTACTGCTGTCAAATTATCACTTTTTACCGGAAGTGCATATGCTCCCCATCACATAACATGCAAATCTTGAGAAAAAAAAGTATCTCAAAAACAGCTATTGTTGATGACGGATCGCAGTGGACAAAGAGATCCTCCACAGGCGACACCCTAAATTGAGCAATATGTTATTTCTTAAAAAAAATGACAGAGAATGGAAACTTTTATCACAGTTCTTCTTATCCTTCCTTCACAGTTATCTCCCCTGATTCTCCTGAACATCTTGTGCACCAAGGGTCTTCAAAAAGTTCTTCGACTTCTTCTAGACGCTTACCTTTGGTCTCAGGCACAGTGATGAACATAAATATCAGACCGAGAAAAACTATACCCACAAATAACCAATATGTTCCTGAAATACAAAGGATTTTCAATCATAATTACCATAATACAGATAAATGCCAAGGATTATAGATCAAAATTACCATATCCTGATAAATGCCCAGTCTCCATTTCAAATCCCCTTGAATTTTTATTGGCATTTATGGCATTTAATTCCATTTTTACTAGATCCAAATCGCACAAAAGCTTTTGATCATACATGTACCTTCACTATTATTTACCAATTTCTTTAAAAAAATGGGAGACTGATTGCATTAAAATACCAATAGTATATTTTTCCTCAAAACATTTTGACCAAAAGAGGTTTGAAAACACATGCTATACTTGGTAAGACACTTTTCTGGATTTATATTTAGAATCAAACTATTAAATACTGTGAGCCAGTTGGGTAAAATTTGTGAATACTGTGAGCCAGTTGGGTAAAATTTGCTAAGCAACTGAACAAGTCTGACCACAATGCACCAATGACCATATACTTGACAAATTCTCCAAGTGATCAAATATTTTCAGCCATTTGAAAAGGATTGTCAACTTACCATATTTAGTAAGTGTTTCTGTTAGTGTAAGAAAGGACATGGAAACTACTAGGTTGAAGGTCCAATTGGTTGCTGTGGCGAGCGAGCTACCTGCACTTCTTGCCCACAAAGGATAAATTTCTGAGTTTATTGTCCAGGGCATAGGACCCATCCCTGCAAATGAACAAGATACAGACATTTTTCTAAATTCAAAGCAAAGGAGACACAGTAGTCTAGTGGTAGGATACCGGGCTCGTGACCGAAGGGTTGCAGGTTTGAAGCACGGCATGGCACTGTGTTGTATCTTTGATCAAGATACTTTACCGCACTAAACTAGAACATTCCGCATGTTCTAGTTCACTCAGTTGTAAATGAGTTTGTGATTGGGTATTGCTAGAATTGTTGAATGCTAGCTGTGAGTGCCGAAATGGCAGCACCGGCTGTATACTCCCCAGGGAGATATTGGCTGGTTGCAAAGGCCCTATAACCACTGATAATAGTTTGTGATCCGCTTTGAGACGACCTACAAACTAGGTTGTGATAAAGTGGTATATAAGAACCTCAGTTATTATTATTATTATTGTTATCATCTAAACATTTCAACTTTGTGTTTGTAGCGTTTCTTAGATACTGTAAAGCATTTTCATATGGGCATCATTGGTCTAAAAAAAATTTTTTATATAAGGTGGCTTTTTGATATAGAAAGGGAGAAGCATAAAACAATTAAGATAAAAAAAAATACCGGTAAGTTTTAATGTGTTTCAAAAAACACATCTTTAGGTTCCCTGTATCATTGCCAAATAATATAACTATGAAAAGAACCCTTTTTCTCTCGCATGATGACAGCTTTAAATAAATCATTTCGGAAAAGAAACCAATATCTTGCAGAATTTTTATCGAAAACAATAAAATTGAAATCTGCAAACAAACTAGAACACTGACAGGTCAGTAAGGGCCCCGTTTTGTGGCAATTATATGCCGCATAATCATCAAGAAGAAATCTGCCCATATAGCTGAGCTTGAAGTTTGACATTTGGACTTCAAAAAGAATCGCAGGGAAGCAAAATATACATTTTACATGTACCATGATGGTATGTGTTTCCTTCCAGTTCCATATTTGCTGGGCTAACAGAAATGTAATTACCGGTGCAATACTCATTTGTTAGTTTTGATTTGTTTTATTTCACCTTACATACCTTCTCCATCAAGAGCCAGGGTCAAAGTCAGAGATCCACTTTGTCTTTGACCTTTGAACCCAAATGACCTTGACAATTAACCCAGTGACCTTGATCTTTGGTCAGTTGACTTATTCTTTAATTCCGACCAACTTTGCTTCTTAATAGCATAACAAAATGTTCATCAGTGAAAAATACAAAACTTGACCTTGACCCTTTGGACCCAGTAACCTGGAACTAAGGTCAGTTGACTCTGTGTTAAGTTCTGAACAACATTGCTTCATAATGTCATAACAAAATGTTCATCAGTGAAAAGATGCGAAATTTGAGCTTGACCTTTGTACCTAATGACCTTGACCTTTGACCTTGACTTTTTACCTCAATGTGTATTTTTATAAACTGAACATCTTGAACAAATTTCATGTACATCGGTCAATAAATACTTAAGTTATCAGCCAGGAACCAAATTTGGTGGATGGACAGACAGACAGACAGACAGACAGACAGAGTGATTACTATAGGGCACCCGTATCTCCGATACGGGGCCCTAATAAATACATAAACAAACCATAGTGTTCTGAGAGTTAAAATACAGTAGGGTCAGACAGGGATTTGAACCCTGGACCTGCAATCAAAACATGTTCACTCTCACTGAGCTACCTGATCAGCTGTCATAGGACCCAGGCCCAGTCAAATTACACTTATATCTAAACTGAAAATGAGGGGAGGTTGCTGTATGAAAGACCACAGTGGAATTCTCTAGAGTTTTTTCTGTAAGTGGGACAAGGATCATTTAACACATAATGCAAGGTATGAGATGGCGTCGGACCACAAATACACTTTCGGGTCGTTGTATATGAATGTAGTGCATAAGGACATTTTCAGGTCAGTTAATAAATATTTTTTCCTGTCTGTTCTATGAAAGATATGTACAGGTTTATTTTTACATAGAATTGTTCAACAATATCTATTCTAGTGATTCAATTTTTTTTACACATTTTTCAAATTTGTATTTGCAGTAGGACACAATGAGTGATGAGGCTTGCGCAGTGATATTTTGTGGGTTGTTTTTTTTTGGTATTTCCCCTATACATGCAGGGTAGTGACATTCATATGAAATTATCTCTCTTAAATGCTGGGCATGAGGTAATTTCCACCTCACTGTAGGTTCATTTTGAATAGAACCTGCACAAAGTTTAAAAAAAAAAAAAAAATCCTTTGGCAGAATTGATTGTGGCTAAGGCCAGATATAGACGAAGGGAGGTAATCCCTATTACAAACCACTTCAATAACATATTTTCAACATCTCTATCATTCACTGTTCTGTCAATCAGTTGATCATGACACAGTTCTTAGAATTAGATACAGTACCAAACATGCCTATCAAAAAGAAACCTACATTTTATATTACAGTATTACCTATCTTAATGTATCCATACTTGTGTGACAGGAAAGGAAAATGCAATGGTCACTCTATAAAATTGAGCTACTTGGACGCTGTCAATCAACCAAGTCCAGCTGCGCTATATTTGTGTAAACTTATAACAGTGATGAACAATTTTTAATGTAGCTTTAGTTACCTGGAGCAAAGAACATGAGATAGAGTACAAGCCCAAGAATGCCCATCCATGAGTATGTTGTGGGGCAGTACCCATGGGCCCAGATTGTCTCCGAGGGTAGAAATGTATTGTTACATGGACCAATCAGGGCCTGGCTTGTATCACTAGAAGTCGTCGGCAGACACGATCCATTGACAGCAGACTTGCCAACCTCTGTGTAACAGTAGCCACAGTTCTTGTCTTCTATACATGCCTCGCACCAACTGTTAAATAGGTCAAGATCAGGTAAGATAGTCTCACAACAATTGTTAAAATAGGTCAAGGTTAATTTAGTTAGCATCACCAGATAATTTTTTAGGGAAAATTTTGGGCCTTATAAAGGCCACTTCTCCTATTAAATTTATATTTGCTGTATTTTCTTAATGCAATGGATTAGTGTATTTCTAAGTAAAACAAGAGGCCCAATGGGCCTGCATTGCTCACCTGGTATTTATCTCACACTTGTAACCATAAAAGTGATCTAAAATAAAGCTACCGGCAAAATATCAGTATTCATTCAAAAGAAGCTGTTAATGGATGTTCAAAAACAGTTTACCCCTATAACCTTGAAAGTAGGTCATTACATCATTGAACAAACTTTATAGCCCTTCATCTCAGCATGCAACTTGCAAAATATCACCAACCTAGAACTTTTGTTTATTAAGATTAGGTCATGTTAATGTTTATACATATTGGACTAAAAGCCACCTTGAAAGTGGGTCAAGGTCATTCAAATGGAAAAAGCTTGATATCCCTTCATCCAAGCAAGCTACTATCCAAATATCAACATTCTAGGCCTTATGGTTATTCAGAAAAAAAGTTGTTTCAATGTTTTTAACATATTTAACCCCTTTGACCTTGAATATGAGTGAAGGTTATCCATTTTTAAAAAATTGGTAGCCCTTCATCCTAGCATTCTACTGGCCAAATATCATCATCCTGGGCTTTTTGGTTATTCAGAAAAAGTTGTTTAAAGATTTTAAACATATTTGACCCCTGTGACCTAGAATATAAGTTATGGTCAATTATTTGAACAAATTTGGTAGTCCTTCATCCAAGCATGCCAATGGCCATATATCAACATTCTGGACCTCATGGTTATTCAGAAGAAGTCGTTAACAGATTTTAAACATATTTGACCCCAGTGACCTTGAATATGGGTCAAGGTGATTCATTTGAACCAACTTGGTAGCCCTTTATCCTAGCATGCTTCTTGCCAAATATAAACATCCTGGGCCTCATGGTTATTCAGAAGAAGTTGTTTAAAGATTTTAACATATTTGACCTCTGTGACCTAGAATATAAGTTATGGTCAATTATTTGAACAAATTTGGTAGCCCTTCATCCAAGCATGCCAATGGCCATATATCAACATTCTGGACCTCATGGTTATTCAGAAGAAGTCGTTAACAGATTTTAAACAGATTTGACCCCAGTGACCTTGAATATGGGTCAAAGTGATTCATTTGAACCAACTTGGTAGCCCTTTATCCAAGCATGCTACTTGCCAAATATAAACATCCTGGGGCTCATGGTTATTCAGAAGAAGTCGTTTAAAGATTTTAACATATTTGACCCCTGTGACCTAGAATAAAATTTATGGTCAATTATTTTAACAAAATTGGTAGCCCTTTATCCAAGCATGCTAATGACTAAATACCAACATTCTGGACCTCATGGTTATTTATAAGAAGTTGTTTTAATATTTTAATCATATTTAACCCCTGTGACCTTGAATATAATTCAAGGTCATTCATTTAAAACAAGAGGCCCAGAGGGCCTGTATCGCTCACCTGTTTCTTTTGTTACATGCAATTGACATATAGGTAACTTAAGACCAAATCTGGTAACTAGAACACAAGACATTTTAACATCTCTTAAACGGTTCTGAAGATATTGTTGTTTGAAACTTGAAATTTTAATGTTAAAGCTTTTGACTTTGACTCCCGACTTGCACTCAAAGTTGACCTTTGACCTCATTACTGTAATAAAGAAAACAATTCACACAGCTGGTCTACATAACATACCCAAGTATCATGACTCTAGTCCAAATGGTTCTTAGGATATTGTTGTTTGAAGTTTTTAACAAAATTGACACCAGTGACCTTGGAAGTAGGTCAAGGTAATTTTATTGAGGAAAATATATAACAGTTCATCCCAGGTACATACTGGCCAAATATCATGACCCTGAGCCTTATGGAAATTAAAAAGAAGATTGTTGAAGCCTTTGACTCATGTTGACCTTTGACCCCAACTTGCACTTAAAGTAGAACTTGACCTCATTACTGTAATGAGAAAAATATTCGCACTGCTGGTCTACATAACATACCCAAGTATCATGACTCTAGTTCAAATGGTTCTTAGGATATTGTTGTTTGAAGTTTTTAACATATTTAACCACTGTGACCTTGAAAGTAGGTCAAGGTCATTTTAATGAGGAAACTTTATAGCACTCCATCCCAGGTTCCTACTGGCCAAATATCATGACCCTGAGCCTTATGGAATTTGAGAAGAAGATTGTTAAAGGTTTTAACCAAAGTTGACATTTGAACCCCCCACTAGCATTTAAAGTTGACATTTGACCTCATAACTGTAATGAGAAAAATATTCGCACTGCTGGTCTACATAACATACACAAGTATCATGACTCTAGTTCAAATGGTTCTTAGGATATTGTTGTTTGAAATTTTTCACATATTTGACCGCTGAGACCTTGAAAGTAGGTCAAGGTCATTTTAATGAGGAAACTTTATAGCACTCCATCCTAGGTACCTACTGGCCAAATATCATGATCCTTGGGCCTTATGGAACTTGAGAAGAAGATTGTTGCAGATTTTAACCAAAGTTGACATTTGAACCCCCCACTAGCATTTAAAGTTGACCTTTGATCTCATAACTGTAACTGAGAAAAATATTCGCACTGCTGGTCTACATAACATACCCAAGTATCATGACTCTAGTTCAAATGGTTCTTAGGATATTGTTGTTTGAAATTTTTCACATATTTGACAGCTGTGACCTTGAAAGTAGGTCAAGGTCATTTTAATGAGGAAAGTTTATAGCACTCGCTCCCAGGTACCTACTGGCCAAATAGCATGACCCTAGGTCCTACAGTTCTTCAGAAGAAGTCGTTCAAAAGAAAAAGTTGTCGGACGGATGCCGGATGACGGACGCCGGACAACGGACGCCGCAGTACATTTTAGTTATTCAGAAGAAGTTGTTTAAAGTTTTTAATATATTTGACCCCTGTGACCTTGAATGTTGGTGAAGGTCATTTATTTTAACAAACTAAGTAGCCCTTCATTCCAGCATGCTACTGACCAAATATCACCATCCTGGTCATTTTGGTTATTCAGAAGAAGTTGTTTAAAGTAAAATATTGACGCCGGACAGACGACAGACGGACGCCGCACCATGGCATTAGCTCACTTGGCCCTTTGGCCCAGGTGAGCTTAACAAGAGGCCCAATGGGTCTGAATCGCTCACCTGGTATTAATCTCACACTTGTAATCTTAAAAGTGGACTAAAATACAGCTACAGGCAGAATATCAGTGTTTGATTCATAAGAACCTTAAACATATGATGTCTGTGACCTTGAATGACGACCAAGGACATCAGGTTGAACAGAGTTATAGTCTTCGGACGGACGGACGGACACCGGACGGACGGACACCGGATGCTGCACCATGGCATAAGCTCACTTGCCCTTCGGGTAGGTAAGCTAACTAACTTTTACCATTTGTCACCATTATCAGAGATCCTCATATTCAAACTGTTTGTTTTTAGCATTGATTACTTTTGTACAAATATCCTAAAAAGTGTTAATAAAAAGGTCTGTTCTCAGTATTCATCAAGTCTGATTTGGTTTCTTACTTGTGGGAGAAGCACGGTGATGTGGAATTGTAATCGGTGTGGACAGAGACAGGAGGGGAGTTGAAGGCTATCAACTGGAATCCCACAGCCAGCAACACCAGACTGAGAAATACACCTACAACACAGACAGGTGACGAAGGGACATAACTCTAGGCCAGCATTCTGGTTTAAATTTTTGATCCCATTGCTTTTTGATTTTTTAGGGTGGGCTACCTAAACTGGAAGTGTGATCACAGTCACATATATGCTTCAGTTTCTAAGCTTATTCGAAACACCGAGATGACTGCAATCAGGATATTATAGTTAACAATGTGGACACAAGCAGAAAATTCAGGTGTGGACAGAAATAAGACAAAATTAAAATTGCACAGTGAATAGGCAAAAATGTAAGGCATATTTTATATGTTAAATCGTAAGGATTACACTGAAAGAAGAAGGGTTGTGGCACCTCTGCATGGTACTGCCAATACACAAAATGTTTCAAAGAAATCTATTGAAAAATGAGCATGCATAGACGGACAATGCTTTGTCAATATATTTATGTAAAGAAGCAGAAATCTCTTAAAAAGGTTCGAAACATGAAATTATTACAGGGGGGGCACAACTACATAATGGTTCTGCCACTTCACAAAAAAAAGAATTTTTATATAGAATTTTACATTTTTCATTCCCTACAAATTAGCTTTTGGGAGTGATGTAAGTTTCCTCTATCTATATTACCATGGTGATCATGCATTTAGTTTTGACTGAAATCTTATACTCTTCACAAGTTATTTATAATACCTTGATGCGTAATATACATACCAAATAAACTTCCGAGGATAAGTGGGCGTCGCCCAATTCTCTCCACCAGCCATAGACCTACCAAGGTAAATACAAAGTTGACACCAGCTGTTCCTGCAGAAATCCAGATGGCTGTTGATTCATCCCTTACTCCAGTCATCTTCACTATAGTGGCACTGTAGTACCTGCAACAATTGATATTACTTCCTCTTCTCAAAATAAAATCCTTTTTGTAAATCAACAGTGATGTTGTGTGATATCAATTATCATTATTTTGAAATGGTTTTGATTGGCAACAAGCGATAAACTTCTGAAAAAAATCCATGCTACACAATATTGATATAACTAAATTATCCACATTGCAATTGGCTCTATTTTAAGAGCTCTCTTTTGACTTTGACCTCAAAACTCCCATACTCAACAAGAGCCCAACAGGCCTTCATTGAACACTTGTGACCTTGAAACTGCATATACCCAGTACAGGTAATTCATGATCATCTGACCAATTTCATAGCTATCACCTGAGCAAGTTTTAGTGTCTTCTCGTTGTTTGATAAAAAGGGGCATTAAAAATGTCATATACGCAGAATTTCAAATTTGAGAGAAGCATATAATCCCAGTCTCTGGAGAAAACATTAATTTGCAGCAAGAATGCCTTCACTCTATAGAAAAAGCTAGATCTTTTATCATACATTTAACCCCTCTGACCTTGAAAGTGAGCCAAGGTCATTCATTTGCACGAATGTAACAGCCCTTTGACATATAGTATCTTATCTAGTGACAGTTATGATCATTAAATTTTGGTAATGTAAACTGCCCGTCCAGACTTATGAGATTCTGGGAAATGTAAAGTGCTGATTCTGTAAGACCAACATCACATTGTTGATTTTGTGAAATCTGCATAAGAGTGTTTTTTCTGCTAAACTAACATGACTGTGTTGTCTTTAGATTTAGAGACACCTACGTGATGGTGTTGATTCAGTAAAACCTACACGACAGTTGATTCAGTGAAACCTACACGATAGTGTTGATTCAGTGAAACCTACACGATAGTGTTGAATCAGTGAAACGTACACGATAGTGTTGATTCAGTGAAACCTACACGATAGTGTTGATTCAGTGAAACGTACACGAAAGTGTTGATTCAGTGAAACCTACACGATAGTGTTGATTTAGTGAAACCTACACAATAGTGTTGATTTAGTGAAACCTACAAAATAGTGTTGATTTAGCGAAACCTACATGACAGTGTTGATTTAGTGAAACCTACAAAATAGTGTTGATTTAGAGACACCTTCGCGACGGTGTTGATTTAACGAAACCTACACGATAGTGTTGATTCAGTGAAACGTACACGATAGTGTTGATTCAGTGAAACCTACACGATAGTGTTGATTCAGTGAAACGTACACGATAGTGTTGATTCAGTGAAACCTACACGATAGTGTTGATTCAGTGAAACGTACACGATAGTGTTGATTCAGTGAAACCTACACGATAGTGTTGATTCAGTGAAACGTACACGATAGTGTTGATTCAGTGAAACCTACACGATAGTGTTGATTCAGTGAAACGTACACGATAGTGTTGATTCAGTGAAACCTACACGATAGTGTTGATTCAGTGAAACGTACACGATAGTGTTGATTCAGTGAAACCTACACGATAGTGTTGATTCAGTGAAACGTACACGATAGTGTTGATTCAGTGAAACCTACACGATAGTGTTGATTCAGTGAAACGTACACGATAGTGTTGATTCAGTGAAACCTACACGATAGTGTTGATTCAGTGAAACGTACACGATAGTGTTGATTCAGTGAAACCTACACGATAGTGTTGATTCAGTGAAACGTACACGATAGTGTTGATTCAGTGAAACCTACACGATAGTGTTGATTCAGTGAAACGTACACGATAGTGTTGATTCAGTGAAACCTACACGATAGTGTTGATTCAGTGAAACGTACACGATAGTGTTGATTCAGTGAAACCTACACGATAGTGTTGATTCAGTGAAACGTACACGATAGTGTTGATTCAGTGAAACCTACACGATAGTGTTGATTCAGTGAAACGTACACGATAGTGTTGATTCAGTGAAACCTACACGATAGTGTTGATTCAGTGAAACGTACACGATAGTGTTGATTCAGTGAAACCTACACGATAGTGTTGATTCAGTGAAACGTACACGAAAGTGTTGATTCAGTGAAACCTACACGATAGTGTTGATTTAGTGAAACCTACACAATAGTGTTGATTTAGTGAAACCTACAAAATAGTGTTGATTTAGCGAAACCTACATGACAGTGTTGATTTAGTGAAACCTACAAAATAGTGTTGATTTAGAGACACCTTCGCGACGGTGTTGATTTAACGAAACCTACACGATAGTGTTGATTCAGTGAAACGTACACGATAGTGTTGATTCAGTGAAACCTACACGATAGTGTTGATTCAGTGAAACGTACACGATAGTGTTGATTCAGTGAAACCTACACGATAGTGTTGATTCAGTGAAACGTACACGATAGTGTTGATTCAGTGAAACCTACACGATAGTGTTGATTCAGTGAAACGTACACGATAGTGTTGATTCAGTGAAACCTACACGATAGTGTTGATTCAGTGAAACGTACACGATAGTGTTGATTCAGTGAAACCTACACGATAGTGTTGATTCAGTGAAACGTACACGATAGTGTTGATTCAGTGAAACCTACACGATAGTGTTGATTCAGTGAAACGTACACGATAGTGTTGATTCAGTGAAACCTACACGATAGTGTTGATTCAGTGAAACGTACACGATAGTGTTGATTCAGTGAAACCTACACGATAGTGTTGATTCAGTGAAACGTACACGATAGTGTTGATTCAGTGAAACCTACACGATAGTGTTGATTCAGTGAAACGTACACGATAGTGTTGATTCAGTGAAACCTACACGATAGTGTTGATTCAGTGAAACGTACACGATAGTGTTGATTCAGTGAAACCTACACGATAGTGTTGATTCAGTGAAACGTACACGATAGTGTTGATTCAGTGAAACCTACACGATAGTGTTGATTCAGTGAAACGTACACGATAGTGTTGATTCAGTGAAACCTACACGATAGTGTTGATTCAGTGAAACGTACACGATAGTGTTGATTCAGTGAAACCTACACGATAGTGTTGATTCAGTGAAACGTACACGATAGTGTTGATTCAGTGAAACCTACACGATAGTGTTGATTCAGTGAAACGTACACGAAAGTGTTGATTCAGTGAAACCTACACGATAGTGTTGATTTAGTGAAACCTACACAATAGTGTTGATTTAGTGAAACCTACAAAATAGTGTTGATTTAGCGAAACCTACATGACAGTGTTGATTTAGTGAAACCTACAAAATAGTGTTGATTTAGAGACACCTTCGCGACGGTGTTGATTTAACGAAACCTACACGATAGTGTTGATTCAGTGAAACGTACACGATAGTGTTGATTCAGTGAAACCTACACGATAGTGTTGATTCAGTGAAACGTACACGATAGTGTTGATTCAGTGAAACCTACACGATAGTGTTGATTCAGTGAAACGTACACGATAGTGTTGATTTAGTGAAACCTACACGATAGTGTTGATTCAGTGAAACGTACACGATAGTGTTGATTCAGTGAAACCTACACGATAGTGTTGATTCAGTGAAACGTACACGATAGTGTTGATTCAGTGAAACCTACACGATAGTGTTGATTCAGTGAAACGTACACGATAGTGTTGATTCAGTGAAACCTACACGATAGTGTTGATTCAGTGAAACGTACACGATAGTGTTGATTCAGTGAAACCTACACGATAGTGTTGATTCAGTGAAACGTACACGATAGTGTTGATTCAGTGAAACCTACACGATAGTGTTGATTCAGTGAAACGTACACGATAGTGTTGATTCAGTGAAACCTACACGATAGTGTTGATTCAGTGAAACGTACACGATAGTGTTGATTCAGTGAAACCTACACGATAGTGTTGATTCAGTGAAACGTACACGATAGTGTTGATTCAGTGAAACCTACACGATAGTGTTGATTCAGTGAAACGTACACGATAGTGTTGATTCAGTGAAACCTACACGATAGTGTTGATTCAGTGAAACGTACACGATAGTGTTGATTCAGTGAAACCTACACGATAGTGTTGATTCAGTGAAACGTACACGATAGTGTTGATTCAGTGAAACCTACACGATAGTGTTGATTCAGTGAAACGTACACGATAGTGTTGATTCAGTGAAACCTACACGATAGTGTTGATTCAGTGAAACGTACACGATAGTGTTGATTCAGTGAAACCTACACGATAGTGTTGATTCAGTGAAACGTACACGATAGTGTTGATTCAGTGAAACCTACACGATAGTGTTGATTCAGTGAAACGTACACGATAGTGTTGATTCAGTGAAACCTACACGATAGTGTTGATTCAGTGAAACGTACACGAAAGTGTTGATTCAGTGAAACTTACACGATAGTGTTGATTTAGTGAAACCTTTACGATAGTGTTGATTTAGTGAAACGTACATGATAGTGTTGATTATGTGAAATCTACACAATAGTGTTGATTATGTGAAATCTACATGATAGTGTTGATTTAGTGAAACCTACACAATAGTGTTGATTCAGTGAAACCTACATGACAGTGTTGATTAAGTGAAACCTACACGATAGTGTTGATTTAGTGAAACCTACACAATAGTGTTGATTTAGTGAAACCTACAAAATAGTGTTGATTTAGTGAAACCTACAAAATAGTGTTGATTTAGAGACACCTTCACGACGGTGTTGATTTAACAAAACCTACATGATAGTGTTGATTCAGTGAAACGTACACGATAGTGTTGATTCAGTGAAACCTACACAATAGTGTTGATTCAGTGAAACGTACACGAAAGTGTTGATTCAGTGAAACCTACACGATAGTGTTGATTTAGTGAAACCTTTACGATAGTGTTGATTGAGTGAAACCTGCACAATAGTGTTGATTTGTGATACCTACACGACAGTTGATTTAGTGAAACCTACACGACAGTTGATTTAGTGAAACCTACATGATAGTGTTGATTTAGTGAAACGTACAGATAGTGTTGATTTAGTGACACGTACACGACAGTTGATTAAGTGAAACCTACACGACAGTTGATTTAGTGAAACCTACACAATAGTGTTGATTTAGTGAAACGTACACGAAAATTGATTTAGTGAAACCTACATGACAGTGTTGATTTTGTGAAACCACGATAGTGTTGATTTAGTGAAACATACATGATAGTGTTGATTAAGTGAAACATACACAATAGTGTTGATTTATTGAAACCTACATGACAGTGTTGATTTAGTGAAACCTACACAATAGTGTTGATTTAGAGACACCTACACGATGGGGTTGGTTCAGTAAAACCTACATGATGTCGTTAATTTAGCGAAACTTACAAGATGGTGTTGATTTAGAGACACCTATGTGATTGTGTTGATTCAGTAAAACCTACATGACAGTGTTGATTTAGAGACACCTACACGACAGTTGATTTAGTGAAACCTACACGACAGTGTTGATTTAGTGAAACCTACACAATAGTGTTGATTCAGAGACACGTACCTACACGATGGGGTTGATTCAGTAAAACCTACACGATGTCGTTAATTTAGCGAAACTAACACAATGGTGTTGATTTAAAGACACCTATGTGATGGTTTTGATTCAGTAAAACCTACATGACAGTGTTGATTTAGAGACACCTACACAATGGTGTTGATTTAGTGAAACCTACACGACAGTGTTGATTTAGTGAAACCTACACAATAGTGTTGATTCAGAGACACGTACCTACACGATGGGGTTGATTCAGTAAAACCTACACGATGTCGTTAATTTAGCGAAACTAACACAATGGTGTTGACTAGAGACACCTACGTGATGGTTTTGATTCAGTAAAACCTACATGACAGTGTTGATTTAGTGAAACCTACACAATAGTGTTGATTATGTGAAATCTACATGACAGTGTTGATTTAGAGACACCTACACGTTGGGGTTGATTCAGTAAAACCTACACGATGTCGTTAATTTAGCGAAACTTACACGATGGTGTTGATTTAGAGACACCTATGTGATGGTTTTGATTCAGTAAAACCTACACGATAGTGTTGATTTAGTGAAACGTACGTGATGGTGTTGATTAAGTGAAACATACACGATAGTGTTGATTTAGAGACACCTACACGATGGGGTTGATTCAGTAAAACCTACACGATGGTGTTAATTTAGCGAAACCTACACGATGGTGTTGATTTAGAGACACCTATGCGATGGTGTTGATTCAGTAAAACCTACGCGATGGTGTTGATTTAGAGACACCTACACAATAGTGTTGATTGAGTGAAACCTGCACAATAGTGTTGATTTGTGATACCTACACGACAGTTGATTTAGTGAAACCTACACGACAGTTGATTTAGTGAAACCTACACAATAGTGTTGATTTAGTGAAACGTACACGATAGTGTTGATTTAGTGAAACCTACACAAAAATTGATTTAGTGAAACCTACACAATAGTGTTGAATTAGTGAAAGCTACACAATAGTGTTGAATTAGTGAAAGCTACACAATAGTGTTGAATTAGTGAAAGCTACAGGACAATGTAGATTTAGTGAAACCTACATGACCGTGTTGATTCCGCTGAGCTGCTGGAAAAGCTGTAAACCACATCCTACAAAGACAGCCTTTCTTACTGCTCGGTTCTGATACATTTTCACCAAAATAAACTGGTTTCCTGAAAAGAGATGCAGCATATCATATTATTATAAACAGATTTTCTTTTTAAAAGCAATAACAGTCTGTCATGAAGGATCTTTAGAAATCATTCTGAATCTCAAAACAGCGTGCTAGTACAAAATTTTATAAATACTACATTTTGGCTGGCTACTCCAATAAATGTAGAACAATTTTTAGAACACTACAGTTAATGAATTCTTTCTCAAAATGGAAATTGATACCCAAAAAATATTAAGCACAGAAAGATGTAA